TACTCCCTTCCCTGAGCCCTCAACCCCCTGCCCTGAGCCCCCTCCAGCACCCCAACCCCCTGCCCTGAGCCCCTTCCTACACACCGCATCCCCTCCCAGATCTCATATTCCCTTCTGCACCCCAACCCCCTGCCCCACATTCATGGCCCTGCAGGCAATTTCCCCACTCAGATGTGGCCCTTGAGCCAAAACATTTGTCCACCACTGCTTTAGGGAGTCATTTTACCTCCTTGTCTCAGATGGCCTACATGCAGCATCAACAATCCCACAGACTTGTTAATATGTTATAATAAAAATTAAGGTTAACAAACATTTATTTAATTGAGAATGAGGGATTGGTGACTCTCGCTCAAACCTTAGTTTATTTTAAGACTGAAACTTTGGGCTTGTCTGGATGGTGATGGCAAAGCTAACTAGAGGTATGTGATTTGTGCTAACATGCTGGGATCTAACTGCCTGGTGTTGATGGGTGCTCCCTGAAAGGTACCTAATTCATGTTAATGCTGTCCAAACAGAACCATGTTAATGTGAAGCAGGTACCTTTTAGAGACTGCCAGCAAGGTCTATATAGGGCAATTAGAGCCCAGCATGTTAGTGAACTTTACAATTCATAATCTCTTGCGTGCTGGGAAGCTTTGTCAGACATTCACTTGAGTTCCCCTTTCCTCCCCACCTTCCACTTTCAAGTTATGGCTGGAATTAGAATGAGAAGTGCCAGGATGCTGTAACTAAGGGCTGGTCTTGTGGCATGTGGTTTGGAACCAGAAGCAGTAGTGTAAGAAATGAATAAGTCTTTTCTTGCAAGAGTTACAGCCCAGTTTGCAGACTTAAAAGTTTCAAGTGCTTCTAGTAAGTACACCTCTAACCCGAGATTATGCGACCTGATATAACACGAATTTGGATATAATGCGGTAAAGCAGTGCTACGGGGGATGGGGGGAGAGGGGGGCTGCGCGCTCCAGTGGATCAAAGAAAGTTCAATATACCGCGGTTTCACCTATAACGTGGTAAGATTTTTTTGGCTCCTGAGGACAGCGTTATATCGGGGTAGAGGTGTATCTGAGCATATGGATGTCTTTCTGAACCAAATTCAAGTTTCAAATCTTCTGAGGTTTGTCCAGTGACTACTAAAAATAAATGGGTTGATGAGCAGCAAAAATCTTCATATTTGCGTTTTGGAGCTAGAGAAAAAATCCAGACAGTAGAACAAGCTGTTGAATTTAGCTTAGGGGCCTGTGGTACTGACAATAGTACAGAGAAACTAAAATGTATAGCAAACTCACTGCAGACAATCGTCAAGATCTCAGAAAGTTGAATGACATGCCAAATGGAAGTAGCTATCACCACCAAACAAAATACCCTTATTGCCTACAGGGTTGGGAAAATCCTTTGCAAAGAAACCACTCTGTGTCTGGTTTCAAGCTTAGTCACAAACTCAAAACTCAGACCCATGCTTGTCAAATGTTTGCAAAGGTTCATAAAGTTTTTGAGTGATCCTGGACTCCATTTTGAGCAAATGTGGGCTGAGTTATGGCTTCCCACCTAAGTCATGCAGAACTGGTGGTTCTATATGTTTTTAACATGAAACCCAAGGTGCTGAAATTAAATTTATTTTAAGATTTTGGAGTTCAAGTTGAACCCAGATCTCAGAGAACGTCCTCAGGTATCTAAAAGGAGAAGAATCCCCCTGGATCCAACAGGAGTGAAATGTCTCTAGTTTTCTGAAATCTTTCTAGTTATTCAGAAGGGGAGGAGGCATGGAATTATCTCCAAATTAATAAAAATGCAATTTATTTCATATTAAGATTTTGTCTTTATTTCTGGATCAGCACCCCCTCAGTATGCTCCCCTGTTTGTGTCAGTTAGTGAAGAAGTCATGATCGCTGACTGATCTAGCCAAAGGTATCAAGACACTTTTATTTTAAGCCCCCTTCTTGCAGGAGGCAATACATCACAGACCTCAGCCTTCAGTGTAGGAGAAAAGGATAGGACTTCCATCATAGTCAGAAGTTAAGAAGCAGTGGTATGACTCTAAAGAGTACAAGGCTGTATATGGCCCTTTCTCCCAGGAGGAAGAATGTTATAAATATAATATTTCCCATCTGATTAATTTAGAGTGTTAGTACTTGAATCCAGAAAGTTCACATCCACCCATCATTTAGGCCTTGATTCAAGAAAGCATCTCTATTTGGGAAAGCACTGAAGCACATGGTTAAATACTTTCCTGAACCAGGGTTTGACAATCATTTGTTAGGCCAATTACTGATATACAAGGCTTCACATACTTTGTGACCACACAAGGTATGTCTGCTCTGCAATTAAAACCTGTGGCTGGCCCATGCCAGCTGACTTGGGATCAGCCTAAGGGGCTTCTTAACTGCAGTGTAGACATTTGGACTCCGGCTGGATCCCAGGCTCTAGAGTAGGGCTACCATATGTCCGGATTTCCCCGGACATGTCCGGCTTTTCGATCTATAAATAGCCGTCTGGGGGGGATTTCTAAAAATGTCCTGGATTTCCCCCGGTCGGCTATATATAGATTGAAAAGCAGCGGCCAAGCGCCACTGGGCAAGCCAAAGCCCCTTCCCAGCTCCCCCCATCCCCTGCAGCCTTAGCACGCCGCCCGGCCCCGCAGCTGTCTTCCCCCTCCTCCCATCCCCTGAAAGCTCTGCGCCCCTGCTCCTCCCCCTCCCCTGCTTCCCGCCAATCAGATGTTTGCGGGAAGTCTGAAAACAAGGAGGAACAGGTGGGCAGCAGCAGGTAAGCTGCGGGGGGACATGAGGAGGAGGAGGGCTCCGGGGAAGCGAGGCATGGCGCGGCCCAGGCCCGGCTTGCCCCGGTCCCGTTCGAGCGGCACCGTCTGAGCACCCCCAGCCCCAGCGGCTCTGGCATGGCTCGGCTCAGGTCCTGGGGCACCGGGCCCAGTTCTGGCCGAGTGGCGCCAGCCGAACACCCCCGGCCCTAGCGGCTCCGGTCC